TATATATATATATATATACATACACTCAATACTGATATAAGTGCATTACATTTTTTACCGTCTGCATGTGTAAAATAATTTATTTTTAATCAGAAAAACAAAAAGACGTTTAAAAATAATCAATATTAACGTACCGTGCATAGCGTCATTCCTACCACGATTTTATAACATAAATATTGTAAAATATGACGAAGTGTTCAAAAATAAAAAGATTTAACTAATTTTTTTGTTCTTAAAATTACGTATTATCCACTTGTAGGTGCATACATATTATAACTGCAGTGTAATAAATATTTTCACAAAAGTAATTTCAATAGGATATCAAAATTTTAATTTAAAATAGGTATCACAATTACTTTGTAATTAGTGTTATATATTCTAATTCCAAGAAATTATACATCAGGTCCATTTCCTCAGCGCCTTCACCTTTGAATTTAGAGTTGAAACCCATACCAATCGTTTGCATCTCGTTTTTACCTGTTTGTACCTCTAATAACATCGTTTGTATCTCAAATTATTCCAAATTCTAAGACGGGGATGCTACGGAAATGACCACCCCACCTCGGGAATTTTTTTTTGCAAATTTTACAATGGATAAAAAAATCTAARTTGAAATAGAAAATATTGAATATAAAACTTTGGTTGATATAAAATATAAAAAATATATTTTCACTCAAAAATATTAATTGAATAAAACAGTCTTAATTTCTATAAAAATTATAATTTACTTAAAAAATATTAATTTAATTTTTTTTTATTCAATTTATATTTTTATATTTTATATCAACCAAAGTTTTATATTCAATATTTTTTTATTTTAACTTAGATTTTTTTAGCCGAGCTAAAAATATTATTTAACCAAAAAATATTTATTGAATAAAACAACTTTGATAATAGTTGTTGTTTTTTATTGCTAATATACATTGATGACCACAACACATATTCAGCTTTAATCACCCATTCCTTATGTCATATTAAATAATATTAATTTCTCTATCAGTTAAGATTAGATTTGGTCACATAGGCGGTATTATACAAAAATGTCCGAGGAAAAATTTCCACGGTAAATATGTCGGAAAAAGAATGTCCGCGGTGAAAATGTCCGAAACCGAAAAGTTGATTGATCGTTATATAATAAAATGGGAACACCCTGTATCACATTAGTTATTCATTTCAAAAAAAAAACCCTGTATGGCTGTACATTTTCTATACTATGACTGTGAATACCTAAAGATATTTATAACTACCTACCTAATTTGTGATTAACATCATGTAACGGTTATTACGATAAGATTATCGAGACAATTTTGTTACAACGTATTATACGTAGGTAACACCTAATTAATACATTTTTTTTTT